CCCCCCCGGGAAAGCACCCTCCCAATTTCGGGGTATGTGACCTGGTATGGGGCAGGGAGGGTGCTCGCTAATCCACTCCTTTCCTGCTAGGCCACTGCTCGGATTAAGGGTCTGGTATTGAATGTTAGAGGGGACCGCACGTTGTTTTTGGGGTTTTTTCGATTCCTGGGTGTTGGGGTCCCCATTAAAATTCCTACCAGACCTTAAGGGTCTGGTATGAATTTGTAGGGGAACTCTAAGCATTTTTTTTTTTACATCGGGTGTCCCTTCTTACATTCCCACTAGATATAAAGGGTCTGGTATGAATTGGGAGGGGACCCTGCACTTTATTTACTCTATTTTTAACAAGTAGCGGCGATTCGGTTCACTTCGGCGGCCCATTCTCCCCGCTCCGCCTGCGTGTTCAGCTGCCTACGACTTGAGAATAGCGAGTACAGCAGTCCTTCCGTTCGGCTGAAACGAAGGGTTGCTGCAGCCGAGGCGAGCCGAAGGATTGGCCGAACATTCAGCATTCTTCAGCTCTTTAGTGAATAACCCCCTGAGACTTTTTTTGGTTAGGTTTGAATAGAGTGGAGAGGGATAAGACCCCCTGTCAGATTTGTATTGCTGTTTGTGTCTCTGTTAGGGAGATTCACCCTCTCTATTTGTCCTGGTGAATGTTTTTACTGAAAGTGGGGGGAAAAAAATGACAAATTTTGGGCTGTTGCCAGAACAGGAATAGATGGGAAATACTCCAATGGGGACACTAGTACTGTTGACCACCAGGCATTTCCTTTCACTTGGGAGGGATGAAATTTTAGCTCTGTGACTATCACAGCCAGGCAACCAGCCCTCCTCCGTGCCTGGGAACCCAGAGCTGTCCCAGGGTCAGACCCACCCCCCCGCCAGACCTGAGAACCCAGAGCTGTCCCAGGGTCAGACCCAGCCCCCCAGACCCGAGAACCCAGAGCTGTCCCAGGGTCAGACCCAGCCCCCCAGACCCGAGAACCCAGAGCTGTCCCAGGGTCAGACCCAGCCCCCCAGACCCGAGAACCCAGAGCTGTCCCAGGGTCAGACCCAGCCCCCCAGACCCGAGAACCCAGAGCTGTCCCAGGGTCAGACCCAGCCCCCCAGACCCGAGAACCCAGAGCTGTCCCAGGGTCAGACCCAGCCCCCCAGACCTGAGAACCCAGAGCTGTCCCAGGGTCAGACCCACCC